CAAGTAGAAAATTATCTTAAAAACTGAATATTTTGAAATTAAATATACCAGTCAAATTTTGTCGTATGGGAATCAAACTTCTTATAATTTTATTTTGTCATAAAGAGTGTGTAACTTTCCCAAATATAAGTATAGTATAGAAACCGCAAGTTAGTGTAAGAAATTAGATTTTTTTATTTATCAAAAATGATTTTTTTTTAAATTTGATGTTGCCAAAACATAAATACTTTCTTTTTTTAAAACATTTCGGCAACTGAAAGTTTACGACTACTACAACGGTTGCGAAAATTAAGGGCGAGTAAGGCTTTAAAGCTGGGTAAGGAGGTGAGTGTATGTATACATAACATTTAGTACTACTGATTGCAGTAAAAAAGGAAAGCACACAACATTATGTTATAGCAGTCCCATATGCAACGTTTTAACATTCTACGGCTAATCGTGTCTGAATTATGCTAGATACACAAGTGCATATGTACAGACGTCACGAAAAATATTTTTTTGAATGCACTTTAAATCCATTTTATATTCCGTTTTAGAAAAATGTATATTTTACGTACATACATACATCACGCAAAAACGTGTCATGTGTGCGTGCGTACATACGTCACGCAAAAAAATCGTCCAGATGGATTTGCAAATGGTCAAAATGATATTTCTATTCAAATTATGACACCCGAACGTTTTCGCAATTATAATGCTTAATTTGCTTCGTGCAAGGAAGTGAAAATGCAGCTTTCGTGTAAAAAAACATATTATAACCAAAACTAACATAAACAAAGACTCACTTGGCCTTTTTAAAAAAAACAGTTTTAATTAACAAAACACAATTAAGATAAAACATTACAATTGGCGCTATAATTACACATTTAAGTTACAAAATAAATCTCGGGGAACAACATCTCCGAGAAACAGCATGCTTAGTTCACGACTCTCGTACATCGACTGAAAGCTAAAGTCTTTTTTTTTTTGGGCTGGTGCTTATTCCGGCGGCCGCTAGGTGGCGCTCATTGAGCCGTGGGGTATAGATTCTGGCTCGCACGACGTTTCGGCGAAGAGCCAGAAATTTGTTGGTTTGGTCTGTCTCGTCTCCTATAGGCCAGAACTGAGGAAGAAAGGAAGACAGCTCACGGGTTGTATGCAAAACAAAGAGCTATGTACAAACATGGACCTCATAAGAAATAGACTTACCCAAACGGATTTTCTCTCTCGTCGGAGGCGTTGCCGGCTGTCACCTTGATCACATCCGGAGGAGTAGGGACGACTTGCAGAAATTTAACAGTGGTTGCCTATTGCAGCGTGTATAATTGTCAAGAAAAAGCTGGTTGCAACGCCTCATTTCACAAATTAGAATTTCTACATATTTTTATTTTTGAAACTGAGATTTATTTTTAACAATTTAGCATATTTATCAAGCCTAATTAGCGTTTCAAATAATTATAAAACTATTGCTTGCTTTCAGAGCTGGATATTTTTTTTAGCTTTTTCTATGCTGTAAGGAAATTTGTAACTACTTTTTTTAGAAAATAATATTTTAAATCTGAACTAATAGAAAATTTCAAACAAGCAATTTTCTCTTGCAATTTTTATGCTTTTTATTGGTGTAAAATACTTTTATTGGTGTTTAAAGTGAAAAATACTAAAATATTTAAAAACGAATTTTTAAAAAAGTTTTGTTAAAATTCTAAATTGTGCTGCTTTTTTATTTTTTAATTATAGATGATTATAATAGCACAATTTCTATAAAGTAATTTTATTACAATTGTATTTTATAATAAATCATTGTGATAAAATTTTTTATACATTTAATTCTAATATTAAATTGTATTTAACCGTTATAATCAATTTTGCTTGTATTTTATAGTGATAATTTTTTAATTTATTTTTAGTTCTGCATAAGATTTTTTTTATTTACTATTAATTTAATTTATTAGCCCAAAGCGGTGGTAGCCTAGAAAGGCTGTTAGTTTCAAAGTGGCTGTTTTACTGTAAGTGTCCGTGCCTCCTTGCAAATTGTTGTTACGAAATATCATCGCCCTGTATTATATGTAAAGAAATTAAACAATGAACAATCTGCATGAATGCATGTATTTTTCTTGCACTGTGACAAAAACGACAGTATCTAGAGCCATCAAATTTTGAATAATGTAATCCTCCAGCCGAACATGGGCATCTGGACAGCCGAATTTTGAATTTGTTTTAATCTATTTCATATTTTGTAAAACTTTAACGAAATTTTTATTAACAAACTCGACGAGTTCAGAGCGAGCACTATACGGAAAATAACAGCTTTATCTCCAGTGCGGAAATTCTAAAGATATTCTGTAATAAATTTTATGTCGAAATATATTTTAATCGCAAAAGAGGGTGTAAATCTCTCATGGTGTATACTTCTTGTTCTTGGATCTGGCAGAGACAGTTGAATGTGTGTGAGGCGTGAATAAACATGGCAGTTTTGAAACCTGATTTGTAATGTTCCTTTACCTTGGTGATTTGTGTGATTTGAATTAGTGTTTCTTGAACCAAGATAACTTGGAAATCTTGACGGTTATTATAATATTTTATATATGGTGTTTTCAAATGTATGTGGTTTACGGGCGAAGAACATGGTATTCAATAAATATAGGTAACACACAAAACTTTAAAAAAGGTTCATTTTAGGAGTAATATAAAATCTGAGTGCTTCTAAATTTTATTTTACTTTCTTTTTTTCCCTTCATTACGCTCAGAAAATTTTATGCTCCGAATTTAATGAGTTATTAAATTAACTAATCCAATTTAACGTTAATAATTTAATGATCATATAATCAAATAAATATGATCGTTTCATAATGTTATTATAGTTTGGAAAATCACTGCCTGAAGATGTTTATTAAATTTAAAAAAAAAAAATAAGATCTTGTTTAATTTTACTTTATTTATTTCAAAGCATCACGTACTATCAATCTTATTTAATTTTACTTTATTTTTACGTGAAATTAAGTTCATAAGTTTTGTGCTTAGAGTTTTTACCGTTTTACCAAAGTAAAGATGTTTGTACAAGAATTACGCGCGAAAGAAATGCGCGAAATAAAGTAAAAAGTGCTTTAATGAAATATATTAAATCCTATTTGGAAAAAACTGTGGCTTTCATAATCTCATCACTATACAACGTATCACATTTAATAATTAAAAAGAGTTATGTGATACAAACGCTATAGGTTTCAGTGTTAAAGTAAACCAGATCGTCCCTACTCCTTCTTGCCGACATGTCGGTGACGCGCGCCCCGCCCACTGGGTTAGTTTACCTCTTATAAGGTCCATGTGTACAAAAGTGAATTCTTGATACAAAAATTAATTTCTGGAGGAAGTATTTAACTAACAACAAAAATTTGTACGGACCAGTGTACAAAATATGTACCAACAAAGTCTTTCATCCGTGTCAAATTGTTATCCCAAACTCCATCAACGAAAACAACTCACAGGAAGATGCAATAGTCCAATTCATCAAGAAAACAATGGATGCTGTATTCCTTCATGATTCCCCAGATGAAGACTCACCACTTCAGAGTATCAGAAGAAACAATAGCCACCCCCCAGAAACAAATGACGATATTCCATTCTCTTTCTTTGAAATTTAAAAAATAATTAAGATCCTGCCAAACAAAATGCACCTGGACCGGACGGAATTGATTACCAACTCATCAAGATCCTGCACAAGAACTTTCCCTATCCATTTTTCAACCTAATGAATAAATGTCTAGAAAGAGGCCTCTTTCCAACAAGTTTCAAATTCAGCCAGATAGTTCTTTTTAATAAAAATGGCCAGAATGCATCAAGCCCAGGTTCTTATCGCCCAATAAACCTTCTTCCCGCAATAGGGAAAGTACTTGAGAGAGCCCTAGCGAACCGCCTTAGGCAACACATAAGGAAGTCCAACACAACAAGCCCGTACCAGTTCGAGTTCTCCCCGAATATGAGCACTATACATGCAATCAATGATATTCTAGAGCAGGCAAAAGGAAATAAAGTAAAGAATCTGCACTGGGCTGTACTGTGCTTTGACCTCCAAAAGGCCTTTGATTCCCTCTGGTGGCCTGAGGTTTTAAGCACACTGAAAGACATGAACTGTCCAAAAAACATTTACAAAATTTTTCAAGATTGCTTCACCAACAGACGCTGCGTCATTATAAGTAACAACCGTACAATTGAAAAGTACAAGTCAGAGGCTGCCCGCAGGGGTCCTGCTTAAGTGCGGATTTTTGGAACCTGAGGTTAAAAAGTCATAAAGCACAAATGGCCCCAACAACTCAAAATGCACCGCTTTTGCGGAAGATGTAGCTTTTGTTGTGAGTGGTAGCTCCAGAGATGAGTTACAAAGAAATGTAAACAGCACACTAGAAATTTTTAACTCTCTTTGCAAACAACAGAAACTAATAATTTCTCAAGAAAAATCACGTGCCTTAATTATCCACAAACCCTCACAAATGATAACACGACTTCCAAGATTCGAATTAAATCGAAAAATTTTTAACTCCCTAAAATACCTGGGTGTCATCATTGATAAAAAACTTTAACTTTATAGACCATCTAGACTACAATAAAAGCAAAACCTTCAAAACAGCAACCAATCTAAAGCGAATGAACGGAATAGGATGGTGAATGTACAGACCAATCCAACACCTAATCTACCATACAGTAATCGAGAAGATTACCCTATATGGAGCAGCCATACGGGCAGAACCAATGACAAAAGGAAAGCAAAAAAAGCTTCATACAATCCAGCGACCCTTTTTTCTTAACTATACAGGAAGCTACAGAACAACATCAAATGCGGCACTCTTCCAATTCACTAACAACACTCTACTTTTTATACGCGCTGAACAAGATATCTATAAAACAACAACACTACAACTACAAAAGAGGAGCCATTACAAATCATTAGAACTTTTAGCAGAGAATTATGAGACACCGGCACACCCATATGAACACCACCAGGAAAGAAAAATAATATCACATTAAGCATGAAAAAAGAAGTAAGCGGAAAGAAATTCCCCCAACTCTTTACAGACGGTTCTGGCCTAGAAGAAGGTAAAGGCAGCGCAATCAATATCTACCTAGATCCCAATTCGACAACAGAACAGAAGTTCCACCTAGATCAACAAAATAGTGTATTCCAAGCGGAATCAGTAGCGCTCCTTGAAGCAATAAAATACAGCATCACAAACTCCCTAAAAGCAGCACATCTTTACAGACAGTCTTTCAGCGATGCATTCCATCGCAAACTCGCGCCACCGATCAAAATTAATCCAGGACATTACAAAAAGAACTTCAGCATCAGAAAATCAACACTTCTTTGTCACTTGCTGAAAGCACATGCAGGGACAAAAGGCAACGAGGAGGCTGACATCCTAGCTAAAGAAGCAGCTAGGGTTCAAAATGCACAAAATTTATCAGTACCGTGGCCTGGCTCGCACCTTAAAAAAATCATAACCATCAAATCTAAAGTTGAATGGCAGAACTGGTGGGACAACGCCGAACAAGGAAGAAGGACTTATCAGTTGTTCTCAAAAGTAGGCACAGCTTCCAGTTTAATAACTAGGAGAAATAACGTGGTTCTTTTCCCACGTTTAAGTTACAAAGTAGATTTCGGGGAAACAGCATGCTTAGTTGACGGCTCCCATACATCGACTGAAGGCTAGGGTCTTTTTTTTTTTTGGTTGGTGTTTATTCCGGCAGCCGCTAGGTGGAGCTCATTGAGCCGTGGTGTTACAATATGATGTAAAAAATGGGATGACAGAGAAACCACATATTAGAGACAACTGATTTCTGCGTTTTCAGTTATCTATCTTTTATAAAACCATCAGTTTGAGAATACTGATAAACAACAAATAAATGTTCACTGTAGTTCGTTTATATATTTGTTTTTATAGATATTTAAAAGGCATATATTTTTTTTAATTCTGCATAGAGCAGTACTGTAAATTTCATGTTTGTATTTTATTGCCCTTAAAGAAAATTCTTATGTTTAAATTTGATAGCACGCACTAATTAATGATCTTGCCACTTACTTTCACATTATTCTATAACTCTAACCACGAATTTGAAATACAGTAATATAAAAATTCTAATAGGAAGAAAACAAGTGAATTATTAAAAATAATAACTTTGGCTATTAAATATACCTTAATTTCCATGCGTACACTACAGTTTAGTGTATAAAATTTATATCAATGGGAATGAAGTTAAGATTTAATTTATTCCATACTGATATCCAAACACACAATAGACAATGAAAGCAAACAGTAAGCCTAGCGTATTCAGCTCACTGTTTGGAAACGTGGTTTGAATAACAAATCCTACATTAAAGGAATTTTAATTAGTTTGTTTGAAATATAGAAAAGCTATGCTGTTCTCTCTTAATGCTTATTTGTGTATTCCCTAGTTATATTAACGTGTAACGGATCTTCTGCTGCAAATGCAAGAAAAAAGAAATCTAAATAAATCAATTTAGGTTCTTAGTAAAACCACTCCTTATTTTAAAATGTATCCAAATCACAAAGTGATTAGGCAGCCATTATTGCACCATAATTATTCAAGTAAAATTGTTAAATACTTCTGTTCGTAGAAACATTTGCTTTTTTTTAACTTTAAGATCATTTAAAATTCCATGCTCTTTTTTAAATTAGCGCTTTCGAATGCCTCGGAGAATAATTTTTATAATTAATGACAAGAATACATTCCTATAGCTAATGCCACTAAAAGAGTTGTTCTCAACGTTTTGAACTGTTTTATTTATTTACTAAAACTTTTTTCCGTATGCAAGTACTTAAAATATTAGTTTTATTAGGTATGATCTGTTGCATGTAAGGTTTTAAAATTTTATATAAAAAATGTATTTTATTATAAGCATGATAAAATGAAAATAATGATAATGAAAATTAATCTAAGACATGTCTCATGTTTGGGAATGTGGTCTCATGTTTGGGAATGCTAGGTTTTCGTTTGCACTGAAATGGGATTTATTTGGCATTTTTGACTTCCATGCTCTGAATAGTAACTTCTAACATACTGGTTTAATAAATACTATTAATTCTAAAATTCCTCCTTACGTCATTCCTCAAGTTACTTTTATTTTTGTTCTAAAATTTTAATTCATTGTCTTTAAGTAGAAAATGGAAAGAGAAAATTTATTTGTGAGTGAACTTACTCATCTGATGAATGTTAAACATTGTTTTACAAAGCTTTCGCGCGAAACATTGTTTATAGTTAAATTTATGATTAATTTCAGAAGTTGATTTGTTCTGTTTGATTTACTGCTTATTGTTACCCAAGGTTTGAGTTATGTTATGAAATAAAACAAAAATTTTATCCATCTTCGATTAATCTTTATTTATTTTTTAATTTAATTTAATCTTATCGCCAGGTTTCAAAATGTGTATTTCAAAATATTAGAGTTAGATTTATTTTCTAATTTTAATTCTCCCATTCTGGTTTCCATGAAATTCATACCTTAGCGAGTTATCCAAATATTATTTTAATGTTTTTAATGTTCAGTGACAGGGCTTGAAAAAAAGGGCTGGCCATTCGTAGGACAAAATTAGAGCTGTAGCTAGGGTTTCCAGCGCCTGGGAACAACTGAAGATTTCGCGCCCCCTCCTGTTTGATAAGAATGGAGAGCATTTCATTCTAAAATTTAGGAACATACATTTGGCGCTCCCAGTGAACAGATTGCCTCCGTTGTTCCCCACTAGCTACGCCACTGGATATCAGGAAAACAAATATATCTGAATTTCAACTTAAACTCTGACTAGGCATTGTCATTATTCAGTATATTTAAAAAGATTTGATCTTCAAGACAAAGACCTGTTTCGCTGCTGTAACATCCTTGTTAATGGGCGACACTTCGTCGAGGTGCTCTCGTTATCACAGACACTGAGAGATTCGTATAGTACTGTTAAGGGAAAACTGACTATAAGAAAATTTTATTTAATCTGGAAAAGGCAAAACGTTGCATCTGAAATCATGCCTGTTGTCAGCTTGAATCGCAGCTCCGTTAGGATTAGAATTGATTGCATTTCGTGTCTAGTATTCATTTTGTTCTACACTCTTAGACAAAAAAAAATGACGTAGCAAAAAGGAGTAATCCGAATGGGACGAAAATCGGTAGAAGTGATGTACATGTATAGATAAACAAATGATTACAGTTTGAGAAAAATTGGATGATTTATTGAAGTGAAAAAGTCAGTAACGCGTTTGTCCACCTTTGCCCTTATGCAAGCAGTTATGCGGCTTGGCATCGATTGATAGAGGTTGTGGAAGTCCTCCTGACGGATATCGTGCCAAATTCTGTCCAACTGGCGCGCTAGATCGTCAACATCCCGAGCTGTTTGGAGGGTCTTGCCCCTAATGATAAAAACGTGCTCAAAAAGAGAGATATTCGACCACCCTGCTGGCCAAGGTAATGTTCGGCAAGCACTAAGGCAAGCAGTAGAAACATGTGAAGTGCGGGGGCGGGTATTATCTTGCTGGAATGTAAGCCCAGGGTGGCGTGACATGAAGGGCAACACAACGGGCTTTAGAACTTCGTCGACATACAGCTGTGCTGTAAGGTTGCGACGAATGACAACCAAAGGGGTCCTACTATGAAATCAAATGGTACCCCAGACCATCACTTCTGGTTGCCGGCCTGCCGGAAGACAGTCAGGTTAGTATCACACCGCTGTCCGGGGCGTCTCCAGACTCGCCTTTGATGGTCATCGGGGCTCAGTTCAAAGCGGGACTCATCACTGAAGACTATTCTACTCCAGTCCGAATGAACTCGACATCACTGCAAACGCGCTTGACGTTGTGCAGAGGTCAATGGTAATCGGCGCAAGGGTCGCCGTGAACTCAGCCTCCTTTCTGTGAGCCGTGTATGAATGGTCCTTGCGGTCACTGAAGCATAGTTGCACGTACAATCGATGATAATGATGCATCTGGGGCTGTGAGTGCCGCTCTGACGATTACTCGTATTCACATTCTGTCGTTTCTCTGCCCCTACCGCTTCCTTCTTGACGCTGTGTGCGGCCATGGTTCACCCACTCCTGCCAACATCGTCTAATAGTAGCATTGCTCCTGCTCAAATTTTGAGCTATTTGCGGATAAGACCAACCGGCCTTTTTGAGCCCAATTACACGACCTCTCTCAAATTATGACATCTGCGCATATCGTTCGCGCACCTGTATGTGAGGCATAGTTACTGTTTACCAGAGTACACAGAATGAATTTCGTGAAGAATTTATGACCTGGAATCGTAATTTCTCCTCTTAAATATCCTGCCAGTTGCGCAGATCTGATGCGCTGTAGCGACAACCGTTCATTCATTGGCAGCCAAATGTAAAATTTTGCGTTTTTCCTCGAATCCTGTATGCACATCAATGTGTGTTAAATTTGTTTTATATCTTCTCTGTGCGTCGTATTTTTGGTTAAGAGTGTATGTATGTGTTTTTTTTTTCTTTGAGACAGTTCATTTATAGTCACAGAACGCGACTATTGCCTGTTAGGTGGGGCGGTGTGTATCCGTAATATTACTATTATTACCTTATCGAGTTTCACGCTTTCACTTATTCAGTTCGTTAGAATACAGAAGCTAGTTTCGGCATACGGGAAATAGAACATTATATAGAAATAAGTTTCCGTATGATAGAAATAGAATATTATACAGAAACTAGTCTATACAGAAATTAGTTTCATTTATTTTTCACTATAAGAGCTACAATGATAAACTCACCAGAGAAAGTGGTCCCTTTTCATGATACTTATTCAAGATATTTGTATCAAGATAGTTGAAAGATACTTGAAAATAATTTAAATTTGAAGGCATAGATGAATCTTTGCTGTTTGTCTTCTGCCATTATTTAATACTAATGTGAAAGGATTTGCGGATGTTAACACGTCTGGAAATTTCTGACTACAAAAAGTATAGTGTCTGTGTTTTGTTTTTTAAAATGATTTAAAATTATTGGAAATTTATCTAACAACAGGTTTTTAGTGCAACCCATTAATATGTACATCTTTAAAATTAGACAGAAAGTCAACCTTATGGAATTTTATGTGAATTGACCGTTAGTACGGTTTGAAACTTTACTATACATTTTTCTTTCTGTAGTCCTCACCAGAATGCAAATTAGTTATACAGATAAATTGTATCTGTACGCATTAATGTAAAGTTCTTATTAATGGAAATGTAAAGCCGAGAGTTTGAATATTTTAGAGTTCTGGCCGCATCACTAGTAATTAGCGTTAGCCATTTTGTTACCCGACTTTAAATACACACCTTTAGTAAATTTAGCCAGTTTATGTACACTATTTTCTGGGTATTCTCAGGTTCCGTTATTTAAATTGGAATTTCAGTTTATGTTACTTTAAATAGCTCTCTGTGGCAGAGTTTCGCTTCAAAGCATAAGTGATGCCTTCTGTGAAATCTAAAGAGTAAATAGAAAGGCTATTTTAACATTCAGAACGCTTTTATTTAAATTTGTCTATCATTAGAATCCTACAGACTGACGAAGGTTTTGAATAAAACTTTATTAGTTTAGAGAGTGATCGATTAGAGAGCGGTTGGCTTAGAGAGCATTTATGTCCCTCTTTGCACCGTCCTCTTTCTTCTCAAGGAAACTAACTACGCCAACTTCAGAAAGGTTGCTTTTATTGCCTAATT